TTTTTTTTGTTGTTGTTGTTAGTACTAAGGAATGAGCCCAGGGCCTTTGCACTGAGCTACAGCCCGACCTTTTTTTAATCTTTGAGTCAGGATCTTGCTAAGTCAGTAAGTTGCCAGGATTGTCCCAGCTGGGCTCAAACTTGCCATCCTTCTGCCTCATTCTCCCAGGGTGCTGGGATTACATGCACCACCATGCCTGACTCAAAAAATTGATGTATTGCACTTAGCTTGTTATCTCCTAGATCAGAAATTGACAGGTTTTTCTTTGTGAAGTCAGTAAATGTTTTATGCATTGGGCCATGTGAAGTGCACTGCTACTCCTCCTATCTTCAGAGTGAGAAAGCAGGCAAAGGGAATGTAGAAACAGATGGGTATGGCTGTGTCTGAATAAAACTTTATTTATAAGAACAGATGCCAGGCTAAATTGGCCCATGGGCTGTGGTTTACCCTTCCTTGTCCTAGAATCTGAGGTAGTACACTCATGATCCCAGCAGATGGAAAGGGATGGTGCTGCTTCACTGCTCTCCCACATCTGGACCCCCAGGGTAAGTGTTAAGGCTAGTCATGGGTGGATGCTCTGGGCAGAGACTCCACCTTTAATGGAACTGTACATTCCTGGGTAATGGTATGGCACTTGAACTATGGCCTTTTAAGCATAAGGATATTTACTGAACACTTACTATGTGTTGGGTGCTGCCGCCGCCACTGCTGCTGCTATATGAGGGTCTCATGTCACCTGTTTGGAAATGGAAATCTATGAGTGTCAGACTCATTGTTTTCATGTATGTTAAGAAAATGAAACAGAAGTTTGCTCACTTTCCAGAGTCACAGAGTAAGCACTGGAGCCAGGTTTGAATCCAGTTCGGATACGTTTTTAAACTGAAAAGTTTACCCCTTACTCTATGTTCCTGTCCCCAGGGCATAATAACAAGTCAGGCAGAAAGCAGGCTTGGGTGTTCATAGGGCATGGAGGGTGAGATAATCCTAGAGCTTTGTCGAGGACCTGAGCTGACAAGTGCTAGGGGTGAGCCCCAGAAGGGGAAACCCAAGTCCAGGGAGCTGTGCAAGTCCAGGGGGAGGTCCTGGAATGGTGAAGCCAGCTCCTGACAGCAGGCCAAGGATTTCTGGTTTCCATTACTTCCATCCTCTGAACATAGAAGAAATGAGAACTTGCATTTCACTGGAGCTGGGAGTGTAGCTCAGCCTGCACAAAGCCTTTTTGCCGTCAACACCGTAAAAAAGGGGAAAAAACCCTTCATGCATTTGTCTTGCTGTTCGTTCTTTGCATGAATTTGGAGTATCCCTGAATCTGAACTTCAGAGATTACATTTCACAGTTTTACAGATTCGCTGCATCTCAGTATGTGTCAACACCTGGCTCCCCTCCCACCATGCCAGAATGTCTCCCTTGTCCTTTGAGGGGGAAGATGAGTGTCAGAGTAGAAAGGAAGTTAGGCTTCTCTTGGGTGAAGCAGTTAAGAGTGCCAGGGTGACCCATCCTGACGCAGGGCTGCAGAGCCAGCTACCCTTGGTTTTGGCCTGTATTTCTTGATCTTGGAGCAGTGAGATACATCTGCCATGATGCAAGGTGGCTGGAAGCCTTCTTGGTGCTTACGTGGCCTTTCTCTCCTCAGGGATGGCGGACTGAAGAGGGAGAAAGTGAAGGATACGTTCAAAGAGGAGCAGCAGAAGCTATACAGCAAGATGATTGTGGGGAACCATGAGGACCGGAGCCGCTCCTGAAGCCAAGGGTGAGCTGGCCGGAATGACCTGCCTGAATCCCGGCACACGAGCCAGCTGGAGCTGTTGCCGCTGCTACCACCACCACCCCTGCTGCCACATCCTTCCAGACTCAGGGCCAGACTGCTCTGGACGCCAACAGCCGGGCCTCAGAGCTGCGCAGATCCTTGCACTCGGGCCAGTGCAGCCTGCCCTTGCCATCGGCAGCAAGTGCTGCTGGGTGTCACTGCCCAGGACGAGATGCCTTCTGGTTCCTTTTACAATACGGCCTTTGGAGGAATGCCATGGAAGTCTGCTCTCCATCCAAGTGTGTCGCGTGGGGCTGAGCGGTGTGAGGATCAGCACACTCCCTGTTAGGATTCCCTAGTCCTGGGCCTGTGTGGGGAAGGCTGCCCCACTCTAGGAGAGGTGCTGCCCAGGGTCTGGCCCAGCCTTGGAGCTCTGTAGACCTGATGAAGAGAGAACTGTGGTATGCAGGGCATTCAGAAAGAGAAATTTGAAATTCTTGTGCTGTTCATTGTTAAGAAGTCAGCAGACGGGCTAGGAGGGGCCAGCAGGCCACCAGGTGGTCTGTGGTGAGAGCCAGGAATTATTTCATGTTCAAACTCCAGGCTGAGCCTGAATTTCCTGTGTGATGTGCTCTTTGTTTAATTGTGCCTCGGTTTCCCCATCTGTAACATGACTCAGGCAGAGGGGTGGTGACTCCTATCTCACAGGGTTGTTGTGGGGTCTCAGTGCTGCATGAGTGAAGAACACATCATGTGCAGTGTCACAAGTTCCAGGTTGGCAGACTGCAGGGCGTGGTCTGCTCTCAGCTGTGCACAGGGCTTTGGACTTGTGAGTAAATAAAACATGGCCTAGCCCCACACATGTTTCTTCTGCTTGGCTTCTGCAGTGAGCCTCGTGTCACTCAGGAGGCAGGCTTCTCCCAGCAGACACTGGCACAGCTCTGGAGTCTGCAGACTACAGGCGAGGGAGGGCCGAGAGTCCCTGAGGTGGGGTGGGAGAGGGGTGGGGCAGCGGGAGCTCTGAGCAGACACAGGAGGCAGCGGAGGAGCAGAGGTCCAGGAGAGGGGTGGCTGAGAACCAGAGAGGCAGGGTAGTGGCAACCGAGCTTCCCCACAGCCAGAAGGTAAACTGCCAGCCTCATAGGCCACCTCAGTCACCGTGAGTGCAGATCCAAAGCCAGGCCACTCTGGGGGTTTCGTGCTGTGGGGTCCAATTTCTGATCCTCATGAGAGGATTTCCTCAGCCCATTTGTCCCCTGCCCACCTCTCGCTTCTTGTGGCAAGCTTGATACCCTTCAGGACTCTGTACCTTCCGCATCTGGGGTGAGGGATGTGTTGGGAATGAGGCCCGGCTTTAAGGCTGCAAACCCATGTCACCATCATGCTCAAGGATCTGCCCTGTGTGAGCCTGGTGTCACTTGCCCGCACTGCCTCCTGCCACCTCTTCACAGAGCCAGCTGTGTCCTCCTGCTGCCCCAGTGCTAGCCAGTGGAAAACTTCTCGCAATAAAAACACTCCTGACTGTAAGAACAGCCTCTTCTGTTTTGTGGAATGTTAATAAAAAGCAGCTTTCAGCTTCATGGGAGTTGATGTTTGTAGTGTTTCACTGCTAACTAGAATGATCTTTCAGATTGGTCTTAAAGATCATTTTCCCTCTGAAGAAGTTCTAAAACTTTTGTGCATGATCTGTTTTATTTCCTTGTTTGGTCTGTCTTTCTGCACACATGTTCCTAATTTAGGATCACCCTACCGCTCCATCCTTTTCATCTGGGATGCTGCAGGCCCCAAATTGCATGTAAGTATGTTTGATTCGGGATTACTGAGTTAGTCTTACCTGCTAAATTCTCACAATGCTTCCAAACAAAGCAACGTAAGACACAAGCTGTGCTCACACTTGGATTCTAGCTGGAACGAGGATGAGCTTAGAATAAAACCAGGAGATAGCACTGGCCAGCTCAACGCCCTTCAGAGCCTGCTGTTCCTTCGCCGTGTCGTTCTTGGTGTTCATAACCTGATTTCATAGCAGAGTGGGCTAGGTGGTCTCAGACCTCCACACCTGACATTTATTTCTTAAGCCCAGATGCTCTCTGAGCTCTAAAGTCTTTCGAGATCTAAAATTAGAAGTTACTTTTGAATCCATTTGTTCCCTCTGAAAAATCAGACTAGTGGAACTAAGCCACCTCCACCCTGTGGAGGTGAGAGTCCCTGAGTGGTGTAGGCGACAGCTGTTTTTCTCTTGGCTGGGTAGTTTGGAGAGGTTTTGCACTCAAACATACACATTCTAAGACGTTCCCCTGATGGCCGGGGCTCCACAGAAGGCTGTCAGCCGGCCGGCTCGGTGCACTACACTCACAAGGCCATTCAGTGACGTCCTTGTGACAGAACTGACTGTGAAACGTGATTCTTCCCTGCCTCAAACCCACTCCTGCTCCTCTTGGGAGACGTACGAGAGGCCGTCCGTCTGTGAGGCTTGGTGTCCAGTGGTGAGGGTCTTCGATCAAGCATGACCTTTCACAGTGGACTTCTGCCCTGCTGTTTGCATCCTAGAATTGACAAAAAGCTCAGTTGTCTGTGTGCCAGCACCCTAGGCAAGAAAGTGCCCACTTTGACTGGGGCTTAGCTGCCTGCTGAGCGCTGGTGGGGGCAGAACTCAGTTGCCCCAGGTATGTAGTGCCATGACCAGGACATCCAGCAGGCCGGGATAGGGCAGGAGCTGGCCACCAGCCATCCATCGCCCGTGGTGCTCACCCGACTCAGCCAGTCAATACGTCTCTCTCCGATGGGAAAGTTAATAAATTTTGCTCTAGATTAAAAGTATTGATCATTTCATTTGTAAACGATAAATAAAAAGGGGGAGCTTTTCACTGCACCATGGGTGGCGTCAGGCATATTTTGCTGCTGAAGTTTTGCTGGCTGCTGGGGGGTGGGTTTCTCATATGCATTCCGGCCTGCCGGCTGCATTGATTTCCTATTAGTCTCCCAGCACCACCCAGCAACACATCATTTCAGTACCTGCTATTAATGGTCTTTTGATAAATAATCACTTGTAAGTCAATAAATTTTTATTAAACAGTGTGGCTCTTTGATTTATTAAAATCTGACCATGTTTGTCTGGGAGAAAAGGGATGCTGAATTGAAGTGGAGGTTTTCATACATCTTCCTGACGCCAGGCAGTCACCACACACTCCAGAGAAAAACAATTGCATTTTAACAGAAACAAAACAGCCGAGTTTGGAAGTTGGGCTCAGGAAACTTTATCTTCGTCAGCGTGGGGTTTACTCTGCAGGGAGCAGCCACAGGCCCCAGGGCACCGCCGTGTCAGAACTTGGTGTTGGGGTCAGAGAGTGGTAAGGATCCCTGGCCCATGTGGGCCCCCGAGCAGCCACGGCTCAGCCTTCTGGCGGGGACAGGGACCGGGCGTAGACACCTGTGTGAGAGGAACGTTGGACATCAACCCCGAGAAGTGGGACTGCGGACCGCTTAGCTGCCTCCTGTCAAATCACCAGAGCCACATCTCATGGCAGGAAACACCAAGACCACGTATATGTGTGGAGACTGATGTCATGTGGATTGTTTTTAATAGGGAACTAAAAGGTGAAGACTGGAAAATATTTCTGTGAGATTTTCATTGGCATAAAATTGGCTGTAGACTGACACCTTTTCATTTTAGCATATGTGCTGCTGAGGGGAGCAGGATACCTTTTCATTAAGACCTGGCTGCTCACGCACAGAGAGAAGCCCAAGGAAAATGGGAAAGGGAAAACGTGGCTAGTGAGTGTGTTTATTAAGGTGAATAGCAGGCACCCTTTTCCTTGGCCTAGCCCCTGCTGCCTGACTTTCCTCAGCCCTACTCAGTGTGGCAGGCAGGACGGGAGGCTTTGTGAGTGCAGTGCTCCTGAGGAGCCCCACTGGGGGCTGTCGGGGTGAAAGTGCTGCCACTGGGGAACCTCGGAGGTACCCAGGAAGCTGATGAGTGGGTGAGTGAGCACATAGGTTTTTGGGGAAAAGGCTCCTGTCCCTGGGGAGTGCTCATCCGAGGGCCTGAGGCCCCGCGCCTCCAGGGCTATGCTGTGGTGAGGCAGGCCCAGAGGTAGAGGATCACTTGGACGCGGTTTCTGGACTATCAGTGACATTGTGTGTCTTGCAGGTCATGTGCGCAGAATCCAAGTCCATTTTCAAGGTAAAGCGAGGCTTTTTTGTGGTTTTTCACTTGGCGCCAATCTTTGTTCCTCTCTCCTCTGCTCCCCTGCCTGGGGTCACTCTTGTAAGGATCGCTGGGGAAGTTGAAGAATCGTCTCAAAGTTTCTGCCATTCTGAGCTGACTTCTAGCGGCGTCAAACATACGCGGCTCTGTCTGGGAAAGGAGCAACCTGCTTGG